ACCTGACTCCACAAGGTGTTCACAGAATGAAGACTTTGTCGTTCTTTGCGCAACTTTCATTAACCAAACCGGGGGCAGGCAGTGTTCAGCTACGCGCTTACGAAGGACACGCTTACAAAATCCAATGTAATCAGCTCCACACGAGCGTGTGAATAAGTATATGCACACAGAGGAGGACATAAGTAGTAGTTTACCCTAAACACATTGTCGAATCATATTTCGGCTGGTAAATACTAAATGTGTAAGTCAGCTGCATAAAAAAGGGGGGTTAAATACAACATTTAGTTAAACGACCTTTTATCATTTCAGCAACAGTGTCGTCACCTTTGACTGCCAAACTCATAAACAGTGTCTCTTTTTTGACACTGTAATTTGGCTGGGGACAGTCTCTTTCCCGATGTTTCTGTTAATAAATCTTCTGGGATATCCACTATTTAAGACAGAGTTGTACGAAGGTTTTCTGGTTCTATGTTGACCGTGTTTATAAAGTAAATTTTCTCAATTCTGGAGCATGGAGAATGAATAGGATTTCTCTTCCTGCCTAGAGGTACCTAAATTGTTGATGTTAGTGTACTGTCCACTTCAACTCTACCCCCCTAGTACATCACTTTAACTGTCTTTAATCCTTTGATTGAACACTAGTAACTAGTGTGACGTGTCTAGTCCTTTCTTTCGTGCAGACTGAATTCCATCCGTCAAGTCTGCAATGTGGCCACCATTCTAGGTAGCTCTCCATCATGGTGCACTTTGATTTGATGATATTAGATAGCTGGAGGCAATCGGCCACAAGAAGCGTTGTCTGGCCTAGGTTTCGTGCTAGTTGGCACCCACCTTTCAATCAACAAGGCGTATCTGCAACTTCCTTGAAGGAACTCATGTGTCCCTTCTGAGATTCGAACCCGCGTCACCCAGTTAGAGACTTTACCACTGAGCTATTCGGGCTCCCGATTGACCTCCTGTAGGACTTTAGTGGATATTTGATTGGATACCAGTAACTAGTGTAACTAGAAGGTCAGTCTCGAGCCCGAATAGCTCAGTAGTGACGTCTCTGACTGCAGCACTGGGTGACGCGGGTTCGAATCTCAGAAGGGACACATGAGTTCCTTCAAGGCAGTTGCAGATACGCCTTGTTGACTGACAGGTGAGTGCCAACCAGCACAAAACCTAGGTCAGGCAAGGCTTCCTGTGGCCGGTTGCCTCCAACTGTCATCTGTGCGATATTGACCACCAAGCAATTTTTAGTGCCACTTTATAGCGTCTTTCCGTAATGTCCACACACGACTGTACCATTTTTATCTGCCTAACGTACAAAGTCGAAATCAGGTAAGTCTTCAAAATAGTCGGGATACAAAGAAAGCCCTGGTCACCCTTCTTCGTAGAAGCCATTTGCATCAAATAATTTCAGCCTAATCTCCGTATACACAAAAATAGTATGATTAACCTCGTACTGCCCCCGTGACTAGATTTCTCTGGGTTTTTTTTGCATCAAAATTTTTTTTATTACAGTGCACTCAGCTCATCAGTCTTCTGATTGAGTTAATTCCTTGTTTAACTAAATAATTTAACTTGTACTTACCATTTCTTTCCACATGCACCGTCTCCTCTCGAACATTCCAACATATCATTTATGATGTGTCACTCAACGATCTTCTCAGCTTATGTCCACTCCATCTGCATTTCCTTCTACATTTTTGTTGGGTGATAGGTTCTTAGCTCATTTGTTGCCACAATTCCGCGTTGCTTATCCTTTCTGGCCTGTCATTTGATCCTCAGTATCGAGCCGGTGAACCTTTCCTAGTTTACTAGCTCGCTAGTTTTCCAGCCGGTGCCAGGCCCGAGTAAAGAGGGAGGGTTGGGTGTGTGGGACTAGCGAGGATGCCCCCACAAAACCAATCAAACTGTGCCACAAAAACTACACGCCACGTTTCAGGTGGTCCACAACGGAAAACTGAGTGAGGCGTTCGAACTGAAAAGCTGGTTGGCTGTCTGCATATATTATCGCTCACGATGATATTCCTGAGTGTTGTTACGGACTGGAAGACTGTGCACAGGGAATGAGTGAGTAAGAAGACAAGAATACGCTGCACTGACCGATAAGAAGACTACTCTACAACATCTGAATTTCGCGCATGGATGATTTATGTTTTTAATGTGACACGTACACAAACTCCAAGACTTGCTGTCAGCCGAAAACTAACAAACTGGCTGAAGAGACGAGGCAGGCAGCGAAGACAAGACTCCAGAGGAACATAGAGAAGGTGGAGACGGAGGTGATAAAGATAACCAACCACCACCACCACCAAGAGCAACAACAACCAACAGTAATCACCCAACATCAACGGGATAGATTTGACAGAGGTTACTTCCCCCACTTATCTGGCCAGGAAGCAAGGTTTCAACCACAGGCAGTCGGACAGCGTGGATGATGATGTCAAAGCCAGCCAGCAAGCCAGAATCGGAAAAGCAAAATACGTCTTCACCAGTCTGAAACCAGTTTGAAAAAAACTTCTGCACTCTACCTCAGCATAAAAAACAAGATTCGAATTGTGTTCAACACAAATGTGAAGTCAGTCAGTCAGTCAGTCAGTCAGTTATTCTATACGGGTCAGAAACTTGCACTGTATGTGCATCACGAAAAAAGCATTACTGACAGACTAGTGCAAACTTCTATCAACAGCTGCCACCCTCACTGGCTCAATAGTGAAGATCAAATAGCCAGCCGGCCAGAAAAAATTAGCAAGAAGACACTCTTCAGTGGAACATACCAACAGGCGAGAGCCGATTGGTCAACAAATGTGTGTAGGAGAAGATGTGCGGGGAGTAGACTTTGGGGAGGCCGTATAAGGAAATTCCGCTCAATGGTGGCCATCTCTCAAGAGGCCCCAATAAGAGACGACGAGTTGGTCGCTAGTCCGAGAGTGACATGGAGGAGGAGATGAGAGATTACGGGCAACTGTTGACTCAGCAAATGAGGATATGAGAAAATAGAAGAGAGTGGAGATGTGTTGTTGTAGCCGACTTATGTTCCACTCGGAACCCAAGGGAATAATAATAATAATAGTAAAATCGACCCAGTAAAGACAGACAGTAGTTGTCGATAGAAATCTACAGCAGGCTATTGGTAATCCTCGACGCTCACGACACTCATACCATCCATGTTTTTAAAGGCATATAGAAACACTGAGTTGACATCACTGTTGCTGAAAATCTGAGTTGTGTTCTCCATGCTTTTAGGGCTTTCAGTGGAATTCCAAAATGAAACGATGCGTTGAAAGTGAAGATCAGATGGCGCCATAGAGGAAATCCTGTCAGGTGGAAATGAAAGCTTATGTCTGTCTGTTTCCAACACAGAACTTTGCACCGATATGCAGTACTTCAAGTCGCCACACTCTCTCCATGTACCAGACAAAGCAACAGAAGAAAGTAAGAAGAAATGCATAATAGAGACAGTAAACAGAGGTGTCAGAAAAAGGAATAGTAATAACGAAGAACGATATAATTTCGTTGGAAATCATAAGTCACAAGGAGTGAATGCATCTGCGCCAGCCATCAACTGAGAACGATTTTGAGCCATATCATCAATTGTTTCCAGTCATTGTTTTTTACCGTCCCGACGACCCCAACCAGACAGGAAGTCTACACCTTCCTACGTGACTAACTTAAACTAACTATTGTAGATTTCATTGACTGGTGCTATGTTTTGGTTTTTTTTTTGATTTACAGCTTGACTCCACACTGTATTTTTGGTACAAGTATGGAATTTTCAGCATGGATATCGGTAGCCCAAATTTTGCAGGCCGACCTCCACTAGCTCTTTTCCAGCCTGACCCTATGTCATCTAACATTGCCCGTCGAGGAAGGTGATGACTATGTATCCATAACACATGCCCTAACCATCTCAGTCGATGTAAATTCACAGGCTCGTCGATTGATTTCCCCTCCTTACCTAGCACTAGACAGATGCCTAACCTTAATATTGCTCACCTTATTATGCCACTTCACACGGGCGATAGAACGCAGACACCTATGATCGAAGACAGCTAGCTAGTCTTTTCATGTCTTCCACTCTCATTGGCCAGATCTCGCTCACAGCCATAAAGGAGGACAGAGTGGACTGATGAGAAGTACAGCCGCCATTTGGTCGATAGCCAGCTGGATATCACGTATACGCTAGAGACGGCGTAAACTGGAATATGCGAAACTAGCCCTCTGTATCCGTACTGAGATTTCGTCAGAGATCAACCCGTTGGTGTTGGCTGATGGTACTTCCCAAATAAGTGAAGCGGTCAACGTGCTCTATCACTTCACTCCCTATTTCTAAACTAGGAGTCAGTGTAGTCCAGTCCTGTAACATCATCTTAAATTTGAAAAATGGAATGAGTCGCATGCCAAACATTTGTGGATTTCAGCTCAAGGTGTTCAGAAGACTCTACCCTATTTTATCAGCGTCCTCGCCTAGAAGGACTATATCATCTGCGTATATTCTAAGTCAACGAGATTATTCGCTGATTGCAGCAAGTCAATCCCTGAGTCTCTGAAGTTAGTTAAGGTTAAGTCCATTAGTACATCTGTGATGAAATTGAATAGGAATGGAGATAGTGGGCATCCTTCGCTGACGGACACCACTAGTTGTTACCACTTCAGATGACAACTCGCCGTAATCTCTTACCTGGCTGACTTCATGAGTTCAAGTAGAGTGCCTTGATCAGTGCAATGTATTTTCTCGACATTCCCTTTGCGGCCAAGCATCACCAGAGTACTTCTCGGTCGATAAAACTTATGTACAACCGTTGAAAGCCAGCTATAAAGGACTCTAAATAAGAGAGTTAAATAGAGGTGTGCTGCTGAAAGCCCACATTCCACTGGTAACCCAAAGGATTTGTAATGTGATAATAATAATATAATAAATATAAAATAAACAGACACAATCACGCATGCTAGTCACGTGAATCTTCAAATTAATCTATTTCATTTCGAGTATTGATCATTTCGGATACATACATATATATGCGCTTCATAGTTGTCTGACAGAATAATATTATTACACAGTCACACACACGCACATATATACAGCTAAACAAATCCGCCGCCATGCCTATCTCACCGTCCAGTATGCCTTATCCAACCCGTCTGTCCTCTGAACCATCAAAAGATCTCATTGAAAAAGTATCAAGACGTTTATCAACAACTGGTGAAATAGCCAGACTAACCGCTTATATTCCAGGACGTTTATCTGAACTGAATTGGTGTGAAAGTGTACTGGAATTATGTCGTGAATATGTAAGGAATAATACAGCCAGTGGTCTACAAGCTGGTGGAATACAAAGTATTGAAAAACCAGAACCATCAGCAATACCAATTGATGATATTGTCAAAGCGGTGACGCCACAATCAAGACTACGTTTACCTGAAGAATTGTATACTGAACTTGTGAATCGGATTATTGGATTTATTGGAGAACAACTAATTGATTAATTGATTGATTGATTGACTAAGTGATAAACTTTATTGACTTATTATTTTATTCTAAAATAAGATGATAATTCAGTTAAATTTTCTGTTGTATTACCTTTTCAACTGATTATCACCATGACAACTTACCAAATGTAATGACCAAAAGCTGCTTGTTTTAATGTACACGCAGGATGTCGATCTCTGAGTTCTCCTGTATGGCTGACGAAAACTTCCCTGAATCACGTACAGACACAAGATGCCTGACAGGTAGCAAAAAGACGGTTATTTACGATAAAAATCTGTGATTCTCAACAATGCCGTTAGACAGTTATACACATCAGAGATGCTTTTCTAGTACAAAACAAGTAATACTGTAGAAGGAAATTATTATGTTATTAATATTCCTTTGTGTCCCGAGTGGAACATAGGTTGGCTTGAATAATATATCCCACTTTCTTCTATTCCCTGACACCCTCTTCAGCTGGCTAGATCCACGATTGCACAAACTCTCATCTCAAACTGACACGATCTACCCTGTTTCACCCTCTCATCGACAACCCACTCGTCGCCTTCTAGTCATATTCCATTCGAGCGATGGCCTGCATTGCACGCCATGTCATTTGACTGTCTTCTCAATGTATACCCGATCAATCTATCTCCATTTTCTGCTACACATTTGTTGAGCAGTCGGCTCTCGCCTGTTGGTTTGTTCCCAGTCAGAGTTTATTGTTACCAATTCGTTCTGACCTGCCATCCGATCTTCAGTATGGAAACAGTCAGCGAAGGTGACAGTAGTTTAAAAAGTCTGTAAATGGCTGTTGGAAATCCTTTTTGTGACACACACACAGTGCAAGTTCCTGGGCCATATCGAATAACTGACTGACTTCACATCTGTGTTGAACAGGACCGGAATCTTGTTGTTTATGCTGGCTAACTGAGTGGGTGGAGAAGATTTCTTAATTGGTTTCAGGTTGATGAAAGCGTATACTGCCTTTCCTATCCTCTCTGGCTGGCTGGCATTCTTTGACATTTCCGTTCTTTCCACCAGCTGTTGTAGTTGAAACGATTCTTCCTAGATAAGCGCAGAGGAATTAACCTCTGTCGAATTTCTTGCGTTGATGGGGTGATTGTTGTTGCGGTTCGTTGGTTGGCTTCATCACCTCCGTCTTCCCTCTATGTTCACCTAGAGTCACCTTTCTTTGCTGTCTGCCTCGTCTCTTCAGCCAGTGTTTGTTGCTTTTCATCTGCCTCCAAGTCTTCGAGTTTGTGTGACACTACACATATGTCATCTGAGAAATCCACATCTTCTAGAGTCTCCTTATCTGTCAGTACAGCGTATTCCTGTTTCCTCACTTCCAACAGTCTGAACCATATGAAGTATCTGAGAATCCAATGGAATATTTCCAACAAGGTAAGATCAAAAATTCTGTCATTAAGAATCACAGAATTATGTTTCCCACAGATATTCCAAGGCCAGAATAACCTTGATTCACTCAAAATCACAGTCGTAAATCAACATATTATCCATGGATAATCCACATCCAGGCATTAATGAAAACAAAACACGTAGTTCAGCGAAGAGTCTCTTTTCGCCGGCGAATTCATTTCCTTAGCTGTACAATCGCTGTATGTGTGTGTTCATTAAGTTTGTCAAACAAAAATACAATTGGTTGTAGTTATTTTAACTAAACAGGTGAAGATTGGTAATTGGAGTTAAGTAATACAAAATCAGTCAAGAAAGTTAGATGTTAATGAAATTAGGGTGGTAACAAAGGTGATGAGTTGTCACAAACAGTTGTTCAAAAAGAAATTCTGTAATAATATAAATAGTTTGATGAGTGACTTTTACTCAGGATACACATAGGAACAAAGAAGAGAATAAGAAATTATGTAAGAGTTCTAAATAAATGGAAGAATTATAGGCAATTAAAGAAGAGGCAAACAAACAAAATTAAGTCATCAAAATCAACAAAGATTTTACCATGACAGTAGAAGTGGTTGAGTAGTTCTCTTTTATATGCACAGCTCCGGATTTTCTATATGAATGGCCAGAGCTTCAGCGATACAAAGAAGACGAAACCGTATTGCCTTTGATAGGTTATTCGTGACTCTGTATTTAACTTTGAAGCAGGAGGCGTTTGTTGAAATGGAATGATCAGTGTTAACTAGGTGTTCAACTATCGCACTCCTAATTGCACTACTATTGCTTTTTCACAACCATGCTGGCTGGATAGCGTTCTTGAATCCTATTGGACAGGGTGCGCGTCGAATGACCGATGTACGTGGCTCCACAGCAGAAGGTGAACATATTATCATCAATATTATCACACAACCTCAAAGAGAAACATAAAAAATCATATAATAAACGGGGATGAAGACAAATAATAACGATCAAGTCAACAGACGTTACGTAGACCCTGAAGCAATGATATACAGTCCAGGATAAAAACGTATACTAATTATAGAGTTAGTGGAAATATCCAAATAAGTATGATTATTGGGATTAGATCATCATTGAACAGAGTTTGGAATGGCAGTCACCTCTCTGTCTCAACTTCATTGAGTGTGAAAAGGCCTTCCACAGCGCAGCGTGGTGATTTGGAAAATAATTCGCTACTACCAAGGGGTGCCACCGACAATTATACATCTCATCCAACAGTTGTATGACAATGCTGCATGTCAAAAAATCCACAACGGGAACCCTACGGTTCCTTAGAAGTAAAGACGGTAGTAAGACAAACTGGCTGGCTGCCTACTATCGTCAATGATTTTCCTGATTGCAGTAGATTGGATAATGTGATAAACAACAGGCAGCGAGGAAACAGGCAAAACATGGACCCACACAAAAACTTGGGAAAAGTGGAGTTCGCCGATGATATATGTCTGATTTCCCACAAACTGGAAGATATGCAAGGGAAAAGCAACAAGTTGGCGATATAAGAAGCATCCAGGGAAGACAGGACTTCAGGTGAACATAGAGAAGGTGGAGACAGAGGTGATGAAGATTCCTGGTCGACACCAACAGACAACAATCACCCAGCATTAATGGGAGAAATCTGGAAGAAGCAACCTCCTTTACCTACCTGCCTACCTGGAAAGCATCGTTTCAACTACAGGCGGAACTGACGAGGACATCTAAGCAAGGATCGGGAAAGCAAGACAAGCTTCCATTACTCTCAAGTCTGCGTCTGGAGATCAACACTCAGCATGAAAAGTAAGATCCGGATTTTCAACTCCAATGTGAAGCCAGTGCTACCTACTATACGGATCAGAGACTTGACGCGTCACGTAGAGAACTTCAAACAAACCACAGACCTTCATCAACAACTGTCTTCGCTCAATACTACTCAAGATCAGATGGCCAGAAAAGATCAACAACAGGGATCTCTGGCGATCAGCGAACCAACACAGCAGGAACCGATTGTGCAACAAATAGGCAGGAAGAAATGTAGGTGGATTGGTGGCCAAACTCAGAGAAAACAAACCATCAAGTGACATCACTAGACAATCCCTCAAGTGGAACCTAACTGAAAGGGAAGCAGCGAGTTGGTCGTCAGGGCGAGGGTGACTTGGAGGAGGTAATGTGAAGAGGAGTTGAAAGCATGTGGGCAGACTTGGAGCTAGGTGAAAACGTCTGCAAAGAACCGAACGCAATGGAGACGTGCGGCTGAAGCCCTATGTTCCTCTAGGAATTAAAGGAAATAATAAAGGAGGTTGGCAAGATGAAAAGATGGAATCAACCCACGTAGCTCTTGACTACTGATTTGAGCCATGTAGATTGTTTGAGTATTGAGTTATTGAAATGCAAATGATCAAAGGGGCTAGACGACTGACTGGTATAATTAATGATCGGTGTGCTATCAAAATAAAGACGGTCTTTATGAATGTGACATGAACAGTAGCAATCAGAACAAATATGTCAGTTACACAACAACCCTGTTTAAAATGGAATCGAAGCACAAAACTCTAATCAAATTACAACACATATTACAACCATTTAGGAATAGTTGGTGGGGAACAGTGCGTCGGTGGCACAGTGGTAGGATGCTCATCAACCACGCAAATGGTTCAGAGTTCGACTCCCAGCCGACGCACTCCTTTATCTCAATAAACCAATAGTAATGTGGTGAGAGCTAGCTGCTAGCCAAATTGGTAGACAGTAATTTACGTCAATGTTTACGTCCTCAATATTGGTCGTAAGAAAATATGAACAAAGACCGATTCAACAGTCAACCACAATAGACTTTGCGTAGGCGGATACAGATAGCGGATACAGATGATCTGACATTCAAAAAACAGCCACAAAGAGATGAAAGATAAACTCTCAGTGAGAAACAACCAATCAGAAGACTGTGTTTTTCTGCTAAAAATAATCCATAATGATGTACATGAAAATGTATAAATATGTGTTTATTTCCTTAATATACAATCTGTTTCCTGGCCCTTGTCCTCTGTTTTTACAGTAAGACTGGTAAAGAGGAAAGGTTGGGCTAGGAAAGAGGCTAACAACCTCATCCCGTAAAAATAATCACCACTACTACCGAAACTTCAAGCCTCTAGGTTGAAGTTCTGTGTGTTCCACTGGGAACGTGAAGGAATAAAATAAAAGTGAAGAACAGTAAAGTTCTTTTGGTTCTAGGGATTTTGTTTGTATGATTGAATGGAGGATTTCATCATGAGCTGACACATCAGTTATAGAACCATTGGGAAACCACTAGGGAGTGCTGGATAGTCAGCTTTTTCGTCCTAGTTAGGGACTCTTCATCACTACACACCCGCCGGGGTTCGAACCTAGGTCCTTCTGGTTACAAGGCAAGTTTGCAGCCCAGTGTGCTACCGATGAGTCACAAATTGGGCTGAAATACCTTCCCAGTACTCCCGAGTTTTCGATTGTCTACCTCATATCAAACTTAAAGGGTTCATATGTTTTATTAAATGCTGTTACTTACTACTTAAAATTTAAAAAGTAGCCTAGTGGTTAGCCAAATAGAATTTTGACGTTTACTGACATTCTCAGTAAATATTAACATAGAAATCTTTGTGT